ATATCTATCTAAGTAGAGGGGGGAAAAAGCCATAGTTACAAGAGGTCAGGGCTTTGAGGAAATAGGCTAGGAAGGCTGCAGGCAGAAAGGGAGCAGGAACCTGCTGCCATTGCCTGTCCTTGGAATCAAGCAAGAAGCATGGCGCCCAGTCAGCTTGCTCGAATTCTGGAGCATATGTATCCCACCTCTGGGAATACTGCCAGTTCCTAACCATAAAACTACCCCCAAAGAAGGTCACAGTTGAATGGGAGCATAAACTGCATCAGGCTATCTTTGAATTGCAGAAAGCAGTAGCTCAGTCAAAGCCTGTTGGGCCCTATGATCCACACTCAGATATGACTCTGGAAGTGTCTTCAACCTGCACTTATGCAGACTGAAGCTTACGGCACAGCTCATGACTACCAGCCAGCAGCAGTCACTGGAATCTTAGACCTGAACATTTCTTAACACAGTGGTATGGTATACGCCACTTGAGAAATGATGATTGGTCTGCTATTGGGTACTAATGAAAACTGCCCCAATGACTGAAAGACATAAAATAATCTTGAAATCTGAAATACCCATAATGTCTTAGACAATATTGTCAGAGAAACACTCTAATAAGAAAGGCAGTTTCCAGAAGAGTGACATAATAAAATGGAAATGGTTACACAGAAATATGCTAACAGAGGAACTCAAGGAGTTACTCACTGTATGCATGAACAGGCAGTCTATTTTCACCTAGGGCCAACTTTGGAGCCACCTGAAAAGCTATTGTCACATGGACAGTGCCCTATGAACAACTCACAACTGACCAACAAAAAGCTGCCTGGTTTACAAATGGCACTCCAAGAGAGACAGGCAGCATTCCATTTGGAAGTCCATTACACCACAACTGACTCATGGGAAAACTCTGATTACAGAAGGTTAAGAGTAAATCAACTCAGTGTCCTAATCTGTAAACTGTTTTCCTCTTAATGAAAAAAAAAAAAAAGGCAACAATATGAGTCCTGAAGTTAGAGCAAATACAGACTCATGGGCAGTAGCCATGGCTTGCCACATGGTCAGACAGAACACAGGGCTATTGAAGGTATACCCACATGGGGCATGAACCTATGAAAACCACTATGGTAATTTAAGGAGCTTAACAGACAAGTTGATGCCCATAAGAACCTTCTTCCAGGATAGAAGGTAACTGAAACCAACAAGTGGATACCGGGTATGCTCACTTGGGCCAGCCATCTGTGTCCAAAAAATGAATAGACAGGGGAGTTATGGCAAGGTAGAGATGAGTTGACTGTCAGCATTTTTCTCTTGCATGCTCTAAGGCACAAAATGTCAAGGACTGTCCTGTCTACCAGCAAGAAAGAGACTACAGACAGCTAAGGGAGGAAGGCTCCACACACAGCTGCCAAGGACAACAGACAACGTGGGACCACTGCTTCTATGCTCAGGAGGCCATACATGGGTCCTACCAGGAACATACATTTACTCTGGATTAGGTTTTGCATACTGGGTGGGAAATGGTAATGCTCAAGACACTATTAGCAGATTAAAACAATAGATACTGTGCCCATCTGGGACAGCATGTTACATTTCTTCAAAGCAAAGAACACACTTTACAGCATAATGTCCAACAATGGGCGAAGAAATCTCTCACCTGGTCACACATCACATATATATCACCCTCAGAGTAGTGGTCTGATGGAGAATTGAACGAGGTAATTGAAATGTCTGTTGCCTAAAATGGGAGGAGATGAGCATATGAGGGGCTGGTTATACACCTTCACAAATACAGGTTCCCCCTCTCAGTGGATCAATTATACTTCTTTTTAAAATCCACAGTGATTACCCAGAGCTTACAATACACACTTGTAACTCATCGAAGCCCACCTTCAAATAACACTGTACTGCTAACGCCTGTGGGCAGGTACCATAGAAGAGCACTCCCAGTTCCTCCCTCCCATGGCTGGTGCCACTGCTGCCACTCATCTCCCTAATCCATATGCCACAATCGCCAGGACATCATCACTATGATTGGTTTAAATAGTTAACTTTTGGGTCAAGTAAGAATAAGAAAAATAAAAGACCTTAGTTTACTTTCTTTTTCCTTTTTTTTTTTTTTTTTTTTTTTTGAGACGGAGTCTTGCGCTGTCGCCCAGGCTGGAGTGCAGTGGCCGGATCTCAGCTCACTGCAAGCTCCGCCTCCCGGGTTTACACCATTCTCCTGCCTCAGCCTCCCGAGTAGCTGGGACTACAGATGCCCGCCACCTCGCCCAGCTAGTTTTTTGTATTTTTTTGTAGAGACGAGGTTTCACCGTGTTAGCCAGGATGGTCTCGATTTCCTGACCTTGTGATCCGCCTGTCTCGGCCTCCCAAAGTGCTGGGATTACAGGCTTGAGCCACCGCGCCCGGCCTGTTTTACTTTCATTTACCTTTCCCTGATGCTCTTCTGTTCTTTATGTAGATCCAAATTTCTAACCTATTAATATATTATTTTCCTTCTACCAGGAGAACTTCTTTTAACATTTCTTGCAGGACAGGTCTACCAGCTATGAATTCCCTTGGTTTTGGTTTGTTTGAGGAAGTTTTGTTTTTTTTGTTTCATTTTTAAAGGATAACTTCCCTGGATTTAGAGTTCTAAATTAGCAGCCTTTTTCTTTCAACACTGGAAACATTTTCTTCTGCTCTCTTCCTGCTTACATGCTTTCTGACAAAAAGCCTATTCTAATTCCTGTCCTTGTTCTTCTCTAGACAATGATGTTTCATTTTCATATTGAAAAACTTCCGAGTAAAACACCTTCCTCCAAAAAACACTTGGTGGATCCCATAGAATTTCCCATGAGATAAATCTGAATGGTATGTGCAATCTAGACAAATTAATGATGGCTCAAGTAGATACATCTTGTCATAAAAAGTGTCTGTGGGGCCTCATCTGATTTTCACATTATAATACTTAAAATAATTGCACACCTTGTCTGCAAACCAGATTGTAAATGAATCCGGTTGCTTATAAAGTGTCCCAAATGGACAGACAGCTCAGCGTGCCCAGCTGGCTTCTGACTTCTGAGATGACAGCTTCCCATCCCATCAGGAGTCTCCTGCATGAGGGTGTGTGGCTCAGTACTCAGGACCACCTAACCCCTGGCTAACTCAGATAAAAAACTCCGAACCACTCACCCGGCCTAGAAACACGCAACAAATCACTGGGATACAGAGCAGAGAACACTTAATTCTTGCAGGTGGTTATCTGTTGACTTACAGAAAAGGACTGGCGAAGAACTATTCTGAACCAAATTACTTACGGATACACAGTCAAAACAGAAGTCTCTCAGTGGTGGTTTCTGGGGATGCAGTAACAGCTGGAAGACTTGTATGGTTCATAAAATTGTCCTTGTGATACAGATAAACTCACTCATTCAGGGAACCATTTTAATATGACACCACCAAAGTTGAACCCGTCATCCGCTCTGAGCTGGCTTTATTTTGTACTTTTAACCTCCTGAAGTGAGGCCTGTTCAAGGTCACCTTGTCTCAGACCACAGAAGGAAAATAGCTGTGTGGTTGCTTTGCTGTCTCCCTGCAGTAGAGTCACGGAGGCCTTGGCCTGTACACCACAGGAGTGAGCACCCCACGTTGGAATCAGAAGCCCACTCCAGAGGCAGCGACACCAGAGACTTCAGTTACCCAGACAGTGGCATGGACCTGTGCTATGACAAAATGAAGGTCAAAGTGGGTGTTCAGTCCAGGCACGGCAGCTCACACCTGTAATCCCAACACATTGGGAGGCCCAGATGGAAGGATCACTTGACCCCAGGAGTTCAAGACCAATCCAGGCAACATAGTGAGACAAAAAAAAAGAAAAAAAAAAAAAACATAGACAACAACAACAAAAATCACTGTGATAAAGAGTGTCTCTACAAAATTTAAAAAAAAAAAAAAAAAAAAAAAAAGCCAGGCATGGTGGTACACACCTTTAGTGCCAGCTACTCAGGAGACCGAGTGGGGAGGATTGCTTCAGCCTGAGAAATCGAGGATGCAGTAACCCATTTTTGTGCCACTGCACTACAGCCTGGGTGATAGAGTGAAATCTTGAATAAAATTAGTGATTTGATAATCTGCATAATGGGTGTTAGAAATGAGTTCTCACCAGTGAAATTAATGGTAAAGAAATGTAGATTGGCTACGATATTTGAAGCACACTCCCCTCCATAGCATAAACAAGGTATATAAATCTACCTAGGTCTATAGTCTCTACCACACCTAGGGAAGGTGTCCAAAGTTTAATTCCTGAGCAATGATACATATACTGATCCTGGATCAGAGACTTCTGAGGGCCTAATGGAGACCCTACAGGTAACAGCTCCTGCTCCTGTATCTAGAAGCTGTGGCATCTGCCTTGAGCAAGGAGGCTTCAGCAAGCTAACAGAACAGGTTGTGGGAAATATTTGGGGCTTACTTATTAATGCATGTCTCTCTAATAAATCTTGTAGAACACAGAATTTGGTTACTTATTTCTATTACATCTGGCAGTGAGTGGAATAACCAGCCCTTACCCACCTCAAACATCTAGCAGTGATAATTACCTACCAAAAAGAATCTAGGAGCTGACTATGGCCAGTTTGATTAGGTCAGTTTTCAACAGCAGTTTATTCTTCCCCCTGACAATCAGGCAGATCAGTGTTACATATAAGTCATACTAGAAAGGGTAATTATTTGAAATCTCACTTTTAATATCTGTTCTCCAAAAAATGTATCTCAAGTTCCCAGACTCCTTAGAAAATTAAAGACACTAGTAGCAAATTAAAATCACTACTACAGTTTGGATGCATGTCATGTAGACCTCAGACTATAATAAGGTGGGAGAGAACAAGGTTCATGTGCTTTATGAGGGAACCTCGTTCCACACTGTGAATAAATAAATAGGCACCTGATCCTTTTGATAATGGTGACTGCCAACAGCACTAACCACCAGTATCATTCCCATAGCAACGGTTGTCAGGCCAACAGGCCTTTGCAGATGCAATCAAAGAAAATGTAAATCAAGAAACGCTTTCACAACTCAAAAGGATGGTCTTGGGAAAACCAGAAATAAGTTGCTGGCTCACTCATGGACCTGGTTAAGGATGTGGCTCACTCTGGGTTTAATTCTGAATACTACAGAAATGTCAAAGAACAGCTGCTGACATAAGCCCAGGGTCTCACTAGCTTTTCCTTCCACTTCTAACAAGCCATCTCATGGATGACCAGACAACATGGAGAAAAGAGGTCTCCTAGAAAGCCAAGGCCCAGAAGAGTGAGGAGAAGGCCTGTGTCCGGAAGAGTCTACTGATTCTAAACCTAAGACATACTGAGAAGAAAATCAACTCTCTATCAAGGAATGTAGGGTGAGCAGGGGAGGGGAAAAAAAAGTAGTGCTGGCAATGCAGGAGGAAGGGAAGGGGAAGGAGCGGTGATGAGGGGTGGAAGAGAAATGGGGAGGTAGAGAAAGAAAACAAATGGGGGACCAAAAAGGTAAAATGTTGCCTACCCAGAGGGTAAACAGCTCACCTGAGCTTCATTTCAACATCGAACATTTAGCTAATGTCCATTTTATATCCTAAAAGTGTATTTCTGACATGTTTTCAGATCTTTTATTTTAGAAAAGATCACAGTTAAATATGGTCTCGCCAGGAATCAAGTTTCAAAATACTATATTACAAGTTTCCAGAAAATGTCAAGTGTCAGAACTCAAGAGATACTACATGTACAGTGAGATGTGGAGTTAGAGTAGGCAGTGGATTGACCTAGAAAGATGCAAGCTCAGATGAAGAACAATTTCTGGACAGTAAAGTTAAATTACCAGTGGAGGTGTTAACAGTCCGCCCCTCACCCAGAGGCCTCATAAAATCAGCTCTGTTTCCTCCCACCTAAGGGGCTGAGCTGGTGCACCTGCAGACAGAGGGCTGCGAGGTGGCCCCATAGCCCCAGGTGCTCTCAAGGTGCTGATCAACCTCAGGCCACATCAGGTCGCTCCAGTACACAGTTTCACTAATTTCTCTTATTTGCTGACCTACCTGACCCTGCTGGCATTTAGTGAACCTCTTGGTTTCAAATTCTAAGTCTTTCTTTTATGTTCCAACTAAATTGGGCTCTCCTATTGTCTCAAAAATCTCAGGGAAACCTGCATTTCTAATTTATCCCACAAGAGACCAAAGAATCAAGGTGTGCAGTGTTGTAGAAGTGAGCTCTTCTCTTTCCTCTCACCAAGCATGTTTAAGATCACACTTGCGTATCCACCAAGGAGATCTGAGGTTTAATTTTTAAAAAGAAGCAACTCCATTTCTCAAATTACTGCTTAAGACTGTGTAGATAGTCCTGAACTTTGTCTTAGAAGATGTATTTGGATAGAAGTTTGTTAAGTCCCAGGAAAGAGAGAAGAATAAGAGGGAATTCGGGACCTAGCTCTTGTCTGACCTGGCCTCTCTGTCCTGTGTCCTCTGCATCAGTAAACTGAAGCAGTTCTCCTTTGAGGTGTGGGGGGAATTTAATAAAACTGTATTGGTGGAAGGTTCTAGACACTCTGGAAAGTAAACATCTTCATTAATCAGTGTTTGCTGAACACCCATGGCTTATAAAAAGCATTTTCTGGGAACAGATTTCCACCACGTCCAACATCAGAGCAAAGCATTCTGCTCAGCACAGGATGGGCATTAGAGGCATGTTAGCCAGTTTTGATCACCCCTCCCCAGTCCTCGGTGTCCAGTATTCTTGAATAAGAGAAAACAGCTCTGGGAGGAAGAAAAAAATTCAGCAACATAAACTAGGAGCATCTCATCAATGAAATGTTCTCTACATAACTCAGAGCTGCACAAGAGAACATGGATTCTTCAGCAACAAGTTGAACAGTCACAGCTCCAGTCCATTAAAAAAAAAAAAAAGTGACATGTTATCTACTCAATGGAAAAACTTGTGCATGTTTTCTTTTGGTTTGTAGAAACAACATAGTGAAAACTCAAACCATTTCAAATGCACTTGGGCTGTTAAGGGTTGTAAAGCTCTTGAATTCAAGCAGAGAAAACAAAAGCCTCAAATAAGAAAATATTTACTTGCTCATAAAGTTCGCATGTAAGAGAAGGTATTCAGCTGTATGTTATTTATAAATGATTAATTACTTTGTCACCTGAATAAAATAATGTATAGGAAATATCTGTTTCTTTTCTTTTTGGGGCGGAGGGGTGGGGCGGTGTGGGAGGCAGTGAGAATAAAAATAAGAGAAATGCACGGCAAGTAGGAGCTAGGAGTTGGGTAAATGTGAGTTCCTTTCTCCTTCCCTTTCCTGCCCTTTTGGGGGGCTTGATATGGCATTACTCAAGGGCCAACAAGAAATAGTCCAATGTGCCGGGCGCGGTGGCTCAAGCCTGTAATCCCAGCACTTTGGGAGGCCGAGGCGGGCGGATCACAAGGTCAGGAGATCGAGACCATCCTGGCTAACACGGTGAAACCCTGTCTCTACTAAAAACACAAAAAACTAGCCGGGTGAGGTGGCGGGCGCCTGTAGTCCCAGCTACTCGGGAGGCTGAGGCAGGAGAATGGCGTAAACCCAGGAGGCGGAGCTTGCAGTGAGCCGAGATTGCGCCACTGCACTCCAGCCTGGGGGACAGAGCAAGATTCCGTCTCAAAAAAAAAAAAAAAAAAAAGAAATAGTCCAATGCACGCACAAGTGTAAAACACCAGACTGGGATCCAAAGGTCTGCCTGTCACTGAGCCGTAAGTTAACCAGTGGCAGAGCTGAGAACAGATAGGACCAAAATGTGATCCTACAAGCAGCAGCAGTCGGTGAAGACAGGCAGGACATCTCTGTCTTCAAGGCTCTGAAGATAAATCAGTTGTGTGTGCTCTCTCCTCTTGTCTGTTTTGCTGCTCAGCAGAACCTTGAGATTTCAGGTGGGTAGGGAGAAATGAAAGTTCAAACATACAAGAGTCAATTTTCCAATTTATTGACTACACCACAGGGTGGAGAAAACAGCTTCTCACAGGGAAGGCTGCTTGGGTTTCCGCTTGAGTTGTCTGGCAGTTGCAATTCAATCTGCACATGCTACTCCCCACCCACCCCCGACCCAATTTCTTTAGACAATTAGGAATAGCTGACTTAACAAAAAAAAAAAAAAAAAAAAAAAAAAAAAAGCAAGGCATACTTCAGATAAACAAAGTTGCTCTATCACCTCATTTTTTTATTCTACCAAACTGGCAAACATTCACAATGACGTGTTGACTCCAAGATGGGGAAGAGGCACCTGCAAACTCTGCCAGTTAAGGGCACAACGTACAAACATCACAGAGGAGCTCTTGATGAGCAGTTTTGAAACCTTGGACATGTCTGCATTCTCTGCCCCAGCATTACGGGTCTGGGAACTTATGCCAAGCATCAACCTGGGCTAGATGGCAAGATTCAGTACAGTTCACCAAATCACTGCTCCTAAGAGGAAAAGCTAGGGCATAACTCCAAAATCCAAAAACAGTGATTTCACTAAATAAACTATGATATGTCTTAAGGCAGAATAGTAGGCTGCCATCAAAATTGAGGTCAGAAAATATTATTTCAAGGTATGCAAAAACATACCAATATTCACAAGATTAGGAGTAAAAAACTTAGGTTATAAATCAGTACATTGTGATCCCATTTTGTAAATATACACATAGGTATAGAAGGGCAGATATGCTCTATGTAGCCTTAAGAAAAAAGGACTACATAGAAAAAAGACTAAAACCATTTTGGTACTGTGAAGGGTAGAAAGAAAGGTGATCTTATTTCCTTCTTTTTAAAACCATGTTTAAGTCTCATCATTGACTTAAAGAGCACAAAGTTTGAAGAAAATGCTTCCCCTAGACGTTCAGCAAGGATACAGCTTTCCTCTATTATGCCCAGGCAGCCACCTCTGCAAGCTCCCTAGAATATAACTCAAGAGCGGCACCCACACTCCCTGAGCATCTTGTTCCTCTCCAGCCGTACAAAGGGATGACAACAACATGGATCCAGCATCTGGAAGGTATGTTTGCCACTGTGTGTCAGCCAGACTTCAAGATGGTCCCCAGTGATTCTTGCCTCCTGGTGTTCATGACCCATGTAGTCAGGTAGGTCTGACCTACATAACCAACAGGATGCAGCAGAAATGACAGTATGGGACTTCCAAGGCTAGGGCTCTGGGGGAAACCAGTCACCATGTTGTGAGGACATTCAAGCAGCCCTGCAGAAACGCCCATGCGACAAAACACTGAAAACACTGAGGCTTCCTGCCCACAGCCAGCACTACCTTCCCAGCCTCTGTAGTGGGCCACTTTGGAAGTAGGTGTTCCTGCCTGTCCAAATTACAGTGGACTGCAGCCCCAACCGACAGCTTGGCTGGAATCTCATGAGACACCCCTGGCCAGAAACACCTGGGCTCAATGGTCCAAATTCCTGACCCACAGAAACTGTGTAAAAAATGTTTATTGTTGTGTTGAGCTGCTAAGTTTGGGAGTAACCTGCTATGCTGCACAAGATAACTAACAGAGATAGCCTTACTTAAAGACCAATGTGACACACACAGAATTCACTTCCCAGGAGCTGGGACTGGGGTCTCCACAGCACAACTGCAGGCAAAGGCTGAGAGGTCTCTGCACAGGCACCCACGCTATTCTGCCCAGGGGGGTCCCGGGGACAGAGGCAGAGGCAGATTTCCGTCACCATGGTCTAGGGCTCCTCTGTGACACCCGGGAGGCCAGCTGACTTCCAAAACTGCTTGGTGAGCACTAACTGGGGCAGCAGAGGCGGGGCGTCAGCTCCCCCAGAGGAGAGAGCATCTGGCCTTGTCCACAGAGGCACTAGGAATCGATCTGGAGTCATAAGATCACATGTGGCCCCAAATTGGGGGTAAACCCACAAAACAAATGACCCTCCGCAAAGTAACTCTTGAAACTATGCGTGCGGCCCTGCAATCCCTATGATGTACCTTTAAGTTCATTTGGACCTTTTGATATTTGTTTTTGAAGTCGTCTCCAAGTAAAATTATTTAACTCTCAATATTATGACCATATTTTAAGTGACTTGGGTTAACTGCCTCCCTATGGAACGGCAACAAGCAGTTTCTAATTTAAACAGCATTTTTTCCATTCCCCTCTCTATCTCTTTTCCTGCTTTTTTAAAAAATCATAAACATTTGGTAATAATCTCAGAGTTGTCAGTTACTTTAAACACTGCAGGCAAACACTGGAAATCAAGACAGCCAGGCTTCCAAGTCAATAAAATTATTATTGCTCAGAATGTTTCACTTGCAACAGTTTCTCTGTATATTAATATCAAATCAAGTCAGTAAATTGGAAAAAAAAATCACCAAAGTAGGATATGTAAATCCACATGGAAATACAGAAATTTAGCAAGTAATTACAGGAAAAAAGGTAATCCTGAGAAATTTGGTTTGGTCATTTAAGAAAAGGTGATTCTCAAATGGTTTATAACAAAATAGAAAAATACGAGAAAGTTTTTAAATTGTTAGTTCTAAATTTAAAAAAAAAAACTTAAAATAGGGTTTTATTTCATTTTTTTATAGAAACATTTTTCTCTAAAACGGGTACAATCATTTTTATGTAGTGGGCCACCACACAATTTATAGGGAAAACTAATCAGATCAATGTTGGTTTCGTGGCACTCTCGGCTGAAACACACTTGAGGCCCACTCAGCCCCTCAACTACCCCTCTGAGGACCAGCAGAAAGACCTCTATGTGTTTGTTCCCCGCAGCCCAAACTAGAAATACCATCTTTCCTCTCCTGTAAGGGTCATTTTTAGTGTAATTTTAGACCTAAACAGGCTTTAAAGAGTCGAAGTGCTTTTGAAGATAATGAGTTACAGTATTTCAAAGAAACTGTACTTTTATTTTTCTAATCAACTGGGACAGACACAATTCTAAAAAGGTCAAGAATCATAAACTTGACAAGAAAAGTTTTCATCACTCTAGGCCTTTCCCTTTACATTATATAAGAACAGGAATCTGGGAAGAATTAAGTCCCTCCCATTCCCTCTCCCAATAACTTGTAAAAAGGAGTAACAGTCACAAAAGAAAATATGATTCACAGATACATTCTACCAGGTGTTTTGACTTGTAGAATTTTTCATACCAGAAAAGATTAAACATTTTATTAACTGTAAGGTGTTTAGGTGGGTATAAAACAGGAGGAAAAAACATTAATCAATCTCAAATGGTTTAAGACATCAAATGAAAACAAAAAGTTACACTAACATCCAAGAAAACCTCAAAATTTCAACTTGGGACTTGAACATACTGGACAGATTAAACAGCTAAGCTATCAATTAACAGTTACAGATAATAATAAGACTGTGGAAACCAGATGGCACTCCATCAATAAGCTACTCCCTATGTACGAATGACATCTGGTCACTTAACTCTTTCTGCAATTCATTAATTCGATAAACAGTTACTGAGCGCCTGTTATATACCCAACCACCACCGTGCTCAGTACCGTCATGCACAGAATGAAGCAGAACGCAGCTGGACGACAGGGCCCACTCGCTTTTTGGCTCAGAAGCCAGAGACTTCTATATCTAGGAAGCCTAATTATGAACTGAACAATACCTGTCTGGCTTATCATAACAAACATTTTTTGTGCAACGATAATGGTACAGCCCCAAATCAGCTAATGTATTAATTAAATAAAGGAAGTTTCCTAGACCCTACTGAATTCAGCAGGACCACTTACAATGAGGGTGCTGACTTGTTAGGTATCTGCTTTAGGTTTAAGCAATGGAGTTCCTCTATCTATCTAAACTCTGAAAAGGGGAGAGAAGATAATTTGAATAGTATAAAAGAATGTAAGACCCATAAAATAATCCTTTCATTCTTAGAGACTTTTTCTGAAGCTAAAATTCTTCAAAATACTGAGTTAGGATATCATTTTGCAAACTGCTATAAAATACCAATTTGGGAAATATATTTTGACCCAAACAGAGAGCCAAATCTTTTTTTCTTGAAAATTAGTATTGATAAACTTTTTGGCGAATACCCAAGTTCAAAAAAAAAACTGAAAACAGCTATTCAAACTCACTAGATTTATTTAGCTATGGCATGTGAAACAAGCATCATGTCCAAGTCTGAAGTCAGCTAACTGCTTTACAAAGGTACTGAGGTTGCAAAGGACTTAATTGGTTCAT